CGTGTTGAAGTATTTTGTAAAATAATTGATTGGCAATTGCAAGAACTCAATGATCGTTTTCATGAGGTAACAACCGAGTTGCTTTATGGAGTTGCTTGTTTGAATTCGGTAGACTCATTTTCAAGTTTTGATATCCAGAAAATAATGAGAATGGCTGAATTATATCCTGATGACTTTGATGAACTTAGCATCTGTGCACTTGAGAATTAACTAGCAAATTACATTATTGATGTCCGTGATATCGATAAAAGGTTCTCTGATTTACATGGGCTTTGTGATCTTTCAAAAAGATTGGTTCAGACAAAAAAACATTCATGTTATCCTCTTGTATTTCGTTTGGTGAAATTCGCTTTGCTTCTGCCAGTTGCCACTGCATCCGTTGAAAGAGCTTTTTCGGGAATGAAATTTATTAAGAATGAGTTGCGAAGTCGAATGAATGATGACTTCTTGAGCGGTTGCATGGTTCCTTTTATGGAGAAGGATGTGTTTAAGGATGTTTCAACGGATGATATTATTTTGTCTTTTCAAGCAATGAAACCTCGTCGAATAGTATTGTAAACGTGCTTGAGAAGTATTAGCACTGACCTCTTTTTGGAGTTTGTAGTTAGCACTCTAGTCCTAGAGTGAGACATTACGAAGTGCTAATTTTTTTTGTTCTAGTTAGCTCCATTTTTTGCTCTACTTAGCATCCTAGTTCTAGATTGACATATTGTAAAGGGCTGACTTTTTGTTTCACTGTAATCACTAATGTAAGTTTCGGATTTCTTGTAACGAAACAAACTTTTTGTACCTATAAACTATATACTACTACTTCCTTGAAATTTTATTTTGTTGGCTTATTTACACGTTTATACTTTTTATTTTTCGAACACCCTGAACGAAAATCCTGGGTCCGCTACTGCTCTAAAGGTGTTTTTCTTCAACTAAACTTGATATCATATTTTATGAAAATCAAATGCAGATGCTTATACGCCAATATTGATCTCCATTGGTCGTTACCATAAAAGGACTCATGAACTTAGTGTTGAAACCCAATTTTGGACCTCCACAATATAAATTAATCATTGCGCTTCTTAAATTCCAAACGATTTAAAATAATTAGTTTTTATAGAGTTCCAAATATTTTTCAAGTTTTGAAGTCGTAACACCCTAGAAAATTTTTGAACTAAGATTCGAACCCTTATTTGTAGTGAGTGAGATTTTTGCAAGGAATTTAAAATTTCTTGAGTGTTAAGTTCACTAGATGTAGCACCTTGAGTTCGAAAAAGAACTAAATTGAAAATAGCAAAATCTGAAATTTTGCAAGTTATAATTAAGTTATGAGTTTTGGGTCAAATTGAAATGATCATAACTCCTAGCACAGGATGATTTAGATGTGCTACAAGATACCGTAGAAAATACCTTTGAATTATCTTTCCAACGCCGCCGAGTTTGCTAAGTTTCAAGGTCGGATGAGTGAGATATGGCCTTTTGAAGTTAGGTTGTCCAGTTAAGGAAAGTTAGCCGAAAATAGTGAGGGGTATTTTGGTCTTTTCATTACCCAATCAGATTTAATTCGTTTTTAGAAATATTTAGGGGTATAATCCTATTAGGTTCAGTTTTATAATCCTAATATACGCCTAGAGTTTTAGTTGAGAGTTCAAGAAGAGAAAAGAAGAAAAGAGGAGAAGAGGAGAGGATCAAGCGTTCGTCGAGATTCTTGCATGTTGTTGCAGATTTTCGCCATGGTTTTGATCCCTAAGAGGTATATAAGCTTCCATAGTGTTGGGTTAGTTCACCCACATCCCAATCATGTTAGTTTCATCGCAAATATCATTCTTCAAGTTGAAAAATTTCAGTTCTTGATGAGTTCTTGATAGGTGTTCTTGAAGTTCATTCTAAATCTTGTTGTGTTGGGTTTTGGATGACTTCTTGAGATCAAAGTGAGTGTTTTAAGGGATGTATTGAGGAGATTAGAGTGTACTTATGTTAAGTAATCAATTCTAAGTGATTAGGGAAGAAACCGTTCGATTCTAGGCGAGTTAGGGTGGGAAAGCGAGCAAAGAAATTCGTCGGACTTTCTGGGTTGGGGCCTGGCGTGTCGTGCCAGCCAGAGCGCCCCAAAGTAGGCTCTGAATGTTAGGGGCTGGTGCTCCGTGCCACCCATAGCCCCAGGGTCTCCTGCCCCATCAAGTTTGTCTTCGATTGCTCCGTTTGAGTTCATTTAAAGTGCACCTTCACTCCCTTTCGATTCTAACTACTCTAAGCTACTTCTAAACACCTAAAATCATTCCTAACATGATCATAACCTTGAATTCATAATTCAAATTCAAGGTAGAGATGAGAGTTACGTTTTTCAGAATTCTTTCGACCAATCAAAGAAAGTCCCTTTAAGTCGTTTTGTGGAGTTTTCTACAACTTCTAGTAACTTGTTTCAAGACTCAAGTGAGTGAGCATGAAAGTGAGGAGAATGTATTCATGAGTGTACACTATCACCTAGATCCTTCATATCATAAACCATAATTCTTGAATTCTTAATTCACATTCAAAATAGAGTTAAGAGTAGAGTTCAAGAAAGCCTTAGAGTTCAATTGTG